TACAAATTCAGGATGAAAGAAACAACTTCAGCTATCAGATCTCATCTACATAAAAACAAAATTCTTTTCTCTAATACTGATGCAGCCACTGCCACGAAAACCCCACAGACGAGGATATGATCAGCACTACAATCTCACTGCTTTGCTTCAAAACTTGCAGTTCGGTGCTAATCAAACCGATCATATAGTCACCACTGGCAGGCTTTGGGCTTTTCTAAGAATTGGCTTTCTCAAAGTCAAAATCACTGCATATAATTTTGAAAAGAGTAAATGAACAAGGGCATATTAGGGGGGCAGTTATTAAGAATCTCCAAAGTGGAGCTCTGTCCTTTCACCTCCCGTTCTCCCCAGAAATCTCGTGGTTCTGATTTTGAATGTTCCTGCTCACAAATAAAGGGAAAAGGCGGTGGGTGGTGGGGTGGGAGGACACACTGTCGTCCTCTATTAGTGGAATCAACCCTTTCAGTTGACAAAGACAACAACCAAATCTTTAGATGGTTTATTTGATCTGCATGAAAGAGTGGCAGTAGGATTTCTGGCACTTGAATAAGCGAAAACAATATTTTTGGCTGGAGAGACTTGTCTGAGTTCTCTGAGGGAGCCTTCGAGAGGCCATCTGGACCGAACAGTATTTCTTTTGTAAGGGCCTGCATTTGGCGACAGAAGTGAAAGGTGTGTGAGCCGCAGTCAGATTCCTTCAAAACTAATTTGCCTTCAGTATGGGGAGGAGACAGATCTATGACTGCTTGTAATTTTGTAGATGAAAAGATTTGCACGAGGGGAAAAAAAAACCCTTATACTTTCTGTTTTCTTCCCTTATTAAGGGATGCTTTCCTAATTTATGATCCCAGATAGGATGTGCTTATTAATTCTAGCTCAGTAATTCACACCATTGTTCTCTCATGAGTAAAATGCGAATGTTCCTGTTATGTGCGATTTTTACAATTGTTATGTCAGGTAGTGACTTTGTGTCTGACCCTTGTAATTGTTAACTGAACCTAGGTTTTAAAGATGAAACGTTTCCCCTTCCCTGGTCGTTAGCCAGCTGGTGAAGCCGTGATGAATGAAAAATATTGAAAAAGTCAAACAAAATCTTTCCAAACCCAAATAAAGCACTTACAGCAATGAGGAATAAAATGGAATGCTTCTTAGAAAACTAGAAGTAGGGCAAAGATGTATTTGTAGCCAGCAGAAATAGGAATATTCTAGCAGAATACCTTTAAGTGTCTATCACCCTTTTTTTTCTTATTCCAATTTTTTGGGTAGAGTTTCCATTTAGAAGAAAATGCTTAATTCTGATAGTAAGATTTCCTATGACTAGTAATCATTTTTAACAAGAAACTGTCTGCTTTAGATGTCATTTTTGTCTAATAAGTGAATAAGGAAAGAAAATACAGTTCATAATATAGATGTCAAAAATACACATCTAATATACTTGAAAAAATATGTTACATTAATATATATGCTATATTTACTTATTTATATACGAATTATAGTTGCTATTGATATCAATATTGAGTAAGTGTTTGAAGGATTTATTTTAATTACTCAGTTTTCACACGGTATAAAGTTCTTAGTTGATAAAAAAATTGTATTTCTTTACTGAATTAATACCAAATGCAGTTCTAAGTAGAGAATTTTCAAGTATTATTGGAATTGCCATTAGTATAAAAATATAATATCAAAAGGAAACGAACTTTTTAGAAATTCCTTTATAAATTTAAAATAAACCACATGGAAATGATTTATCCTAGCTAAAATACTTTACTAAACAATTTGAAGCTATACTAATTAATGGCACGAGGGTTGTATCCCCAAATATATTTTCCTGGAAAGGTGACAGAAAGAATCAGTTTAATTAATATTGTGGTTGGATACTTCACAACTATGTCAGCTAAACTAAAAATATTTTTGTTTCTGGGGATTGAAATCACAGAGATTACTACATTGAGTGCTTACTCTTCTCCGAGAGATTTTACCTGAAGTCCCTAATACCAATCCACTGCCTGCATTCTTAAGGTCTGGGGACCACTGTGTCAGGCAAAATTCTTTAGCCTGAAAATCTCTGAGCTGAAAGAGTGCCACCATAAATACCAATGCCTACCAAACAATGAGAGATTTTATTGGTTAGCATTAATATTAATATGCAGTGTTTTCTCTTTGCCTGACATTACACTAAGGACATCAAACTTTATTTCTACAGAATTTATAATGGAAATAAAATTTTGTGACACCAAGGACTGATCCCAAGAATTTATCTGTTCACAACCTAAAAAATTCCATGATTTTTGTTCTTTGGAGTGGGAGAGCAGGGAAAAAATGTAAGACTTAATTTTGAACAATAACAACAACAAACTACTACTACTATTACCACCACAGAAAACACAAATGGCCAGCACTGACTATGACCTTTAGCTGTGCCTTTGGTCTCTGGGTTGAATTTAAAACGAAAGCAGGAAGAAGTAGAAAAGAAGATCCATAATTTTGCCTTCTGGGGTCATTCCTACATAAATACATAACTTGGATGACACTTTCACGGTGGGCGCGGGTCTCTTAGAAATGCATGAGCGTCTGACCGGGATACCAGCCATGGCTTTCCCACATTTGAGACTCATCTGTGCTTTAGACAAAGTATCAGGGGTTTCATGCTTTCCTCACTGATTCGCATTTGAAATAAAACTGATTAGATGTTTGTCAGAGGTGGTCACTTTCTACAGTCGAGCAACCTATTTATACAAAATCTTTGCAAACAGAACCCACACTATTTAAAACCCCAAGAACCCCACATGACCTAGAGTCACCTACCTGCAGGTCCAATTTCTGTGACCAGCCAGTTTACAGGCAAAGTGAAAGAAACATGCTAATTGGATAAAATAACCATATGTCCCTACTGGAAGCCCTATTACTTGAATCATTTAAACCTTGCTGGACAAAGCATCAGGAGAACTGCTGTAGGAAACAAACTTCCAAGAATGGAGCAGGGGGAAATGACCTAACAGTCTCTCCTCTCGCCAGTTTCTATGGTTATATGCTCAGAAAGCTGGCCAGCCACAATGTTGTGAAAGCTTATGCCCCAATAAGAGAGTATCTCTTATTTAAAACAGCAGATAGCTCAGAATCTAACATTTCATTTGTCCTCATCAACAGGAAAGCATGGGCAACTTTGGGGCAATTTTCCCTATGAACAGTATTTTCCAGGTACAGTGGGAATGAGTGGTTTTCCTCATTCATGAACTTAAATGCCAGGAAAAGCATGTTTCTAGTTGGAGTTTTGTTTGTTGGCTGCTGAAATTTAGGGTGACCTCTCTCATACCCTAACTTCTTTCCATACCAGGTGGTGGCAACAACACCAGACCCAGGTGGGGTGGCTCATGGGGGCTGTGCCAGCCCACACTGGAACTCTGTGGTCTGTCATCTAAATGGAGCACAGGCTGCCTCAGTTTCCTGTCTCAGTAGAAAGTGTTCATTGCACAGAGACCCTCAGCTGCTGAAGACACGCGAGGCATTTAGTGTATAAACATACACTGCCTACAAACGTAGGCAGTAGTGAGAGCAGAGGGTGGGGGTTTGCAGGTAGCAATGACAGAGTCTGTGTTTCTCTTGCTAGATAAATATCTATGTTTATTCATGTAAGATCTTGCTGTTTGGGTTAAGATACAGAAATGGACACAAAATATACTGTCAACTTGAAAATATTTTTCTATGAAATGCATTGTTTTTCTGATGGCCATCATTGATGTGAAATAAAATATCTATCTATTACAAAATTGGTGCACATCCAAATTGGATGTTTCCAACGTAACGTACTCTGCTTTGGGATATTAGGTGTGAGTTTGTGCAAAGATGAGCCCATGTGTATGTGTGTGTGTGTGTGTGTGTGTGTGTGTGTGTGTGTGAACATGCATGCTTGGCCATGGTTGAAGGCAGATGTCTATAGGGAATGACACACTTAATAATGGTACCCACTTTTGAAAATCCTAGGGTTTTCAGGTGTTCTTGCAGCCAGAGAAAGTGCAAGCAACACTTCTCACATGAATCTCAGAAGTTCACAGGTTCACCACTGAAAACCAGTTTTTTAAATTTTTCATCTTTTGGGGGTGGGGGACAAAGGAGACTTTTTCACATTTAGAGCCTTAATAATTTTTCCATATTTTTTCTTTCCAAAGTAATTTGCACTGAAAGCATGGAAACTTCATTCCTTATGGAAGTCACAGGCTGAGTGCACAGATTACCTCTAGGATAGATTTATAAATGTGACTTTCCTATCCTCTTAAAAAGAGGCAAGCGGTATTATTGCAAATAACCTTTAAGATAATTAACTGACAATGCTGCAACTAGCATAAAATCTTCCTTCAGGCGACACCTAATTTAAGTGTTACTGGCACAAAGTGGAGACAGATTGTGCATTACCACTGCAATATTTACATAGCAGAAACCCACAGAGCAGGAAACGGGGCTCAATGACGCACTAAATTAGGAACAACCGTACTCCAGTGTTAATTTGCTTTCCATTCGATCCAAATCGCAGGTCCAGAAATTGGTACAAATACACATACAACCTCCCACTCTTAAATGACTAAACCGGAGGAGATTTTTGTACCTCCCCCCCTCCCCCAAATTAAAATAACTTGAAATTTATTTCTTGTCTCCACGAGTACCATTTGGTCAAACTGTGTTTATTTCATTACAACTTGCTCTCACTTTGATCTAAAATTATTTTCGTATGAATGCTGCACTTAAGTCTGTAGAGGAAAACTAAACAGGCTTCTATTTTCTTGAAGGTTGCCAATATATTTTATGAAAAGAATAAAATGAGAGACTTGAGAGGCCACTAGTGAGATATTTAGGAACAGGAAAGGGAGAGTCCACCCGAGATGATAAGCCTGTGTCCGCCCCCCCCAATACAATGAGTTTTCCTAAAATCATTCACACTTTTTTTTTATTCTTCCCCACAGTATTTTCAGCACCAGATCCATTCAAGGCATTAACAAAACATTTACCTTTCCTAACCGCTGATGCTCTTTAAAAGCAGCAATTAGTTCTTCAGCCCACTGGATTTTTTCCGGGGCAGGGGTGAACAGCTCCTGGACCACAGCGATTTGGTTCGGGTGAATCACTTGCTTACCTAAAAGAGAGAGGAACACTAGAGTCTCACGCCACTGCCACAGTTCAGACAGAATGTCCATTGCAAAAAGTCCCCGAGGGCCCCCAGGCCATGTGTTAAATAGCAAGTTTAGGACCTGTTTTTTTTGGTACTGAGGATCGAACTCACAACCTTGTGCTTGCCAGGAGGCACTTACACCACTGAACTAAATCCCTGGCTCAATTTAGAACTTTTTTAAGGAAAAAAAAAAAAAAGCAACACCTGTCATCAGGCAGCCCTTTCTGGAAAAGCATGGAAGAACAGACCAGAGGTGGAAGGCCCTCTGTCTCTGTGAAAGGGCCTCAGTCAGGGTAGATCCTCTCTCAGGGTTAGGTGCAGGTGGATAACAAGGCGCTCAGTGACTGTGAGAGGGCCATATCCACAGATGGCAGTGATCATCTTGTGTTAAAGGAAAATGACATTTGATGAGAAATCTCTTTTGATTCACACTTTTTTTTTATTTGATAAGTTCTCTTTTGCTTATTCGGGAGGTTTATGCTACCTTCCATGGTTGCTTGGAGGCATGCTAAGTTGGTTTTTATGGGGCTTATGGATGTGAGCATTATGGCTATATTAATATCAAACACTACCTTCTAATGATACATTTAATTTTCTGTCTTTAAAATGTGTCATTTCTAACCCCTACTAGAAAAATTGAATTTCAACAAAAATAGTACAATAAAATAGAAGACAGATTTGAATAATGTGACCTCTAGGTTATTTTAATTAAAAATTAAAAATATTTTTTATTTTAAAAAATTAAAGAAAATTCCTCTAGTCTCAAAAGATAAAAATTTCTCCTTATAGAATGAAGACTGGCTATTTCCCCCTTTACACATGCCAGAAGAAATATTAGCTGTATAGAAACATATAAAAAATATTTCTGATTTGTTCTGAAGTTTAAGGATTTTAAACAAAAGCATCATATAAGCATAAGAGTCGAGTTCTGTGAAACCATACTGTCACTCGGAAAACAATTTATCGATCAGGGAAGTTTGGAATCTAGTAATTAATAAAATGCAACATAATTTCATGTTGTAATAATAATGACATTTATTATATGATAAGGTTATGAATATAATTTGCCTCTTTAAGAATGAATATTTACTTTTGGTCATTTACTCTGTATGTTTGTTGGTATGTCAATTAGCTTTTCCTTTAAAATAGTTGTTTTAACATTTAGTCAGTACATACCACATGCTGGATCTTTTATAAAATGCCACTCCTGTCACTGTCATTATTTTGTCTGATAGAAAAAAACAATGTTTTTAGAAAAACATTTTAGTGTTTCATGAAAAGGAATTTAAGTCGCTCCATAAAACTTCTTTGCTTCACAGTGGCATGATTAAAACAACTTCATATTGCTATTTCTTTCTAATCTGTTGGCATGCTAATAAAACATTAAAAATCTACATACATATTCAAATTACTTGAAGAATAATTTCTAGAAACATGATAACAAATGAGAACTTTTTCAGAGGGTAAGTGCTGAGTATAGTTAAGTAATCTAATAGTTACAATATTAATAAAGGCTGTCAGTTCTTGCAGCCATTTTCCTACTGTTAATCTTGAATTTCATGGTTTATGTACATAATTTTCCGTGATGTGTAAAAAGCCAAATTTCATGGAAAACTCTTGATTCAGGTACTACAATTTGAAGAGAAAACAGAGACTCTTGAAAATATTGTGAAACCTTCGATGGCTCTCAGGTACTTATATTTGGGGATGGAGGCTCGTTTCATGATGTGTGAGATTTTAGAAAACCATGTACCTTCATGTGTGAGGCTCCCTTTTGTTGCCGTCAGCTGCATCCCAGCAACTGTGTAACAGGCTTGGATGCCATGTGGAAACGAAGCCAATATTTTATCCAGGAGAGTTATTATTGACAAGTTACTGAGAGAGTGCAAAATTGAACAACATTAAAATTTATGACCATGAAATCCTTTTTACAGTACCACTTGATATATCTTGCTTTAAATCAATACCTGTCAAGTCTTTTAGGTAACTGTATGATGGTGTCATTTTTGTCTTCTACAAAAGGCTGCAAAAAAGAGGAAAACCTATAGAGCTTCATATTTATAATCTTTCTTCTCAGCATGCAGCCCTGGAGTCACTGTAATGACGCAGTCAGCTGGTGAAGCTTTATTCCTAGATTTAGTTTGGGTATATTTTTATTTAAAAAAAAATCCCAAAGTTAATGGCTATTTATACATCTAATGCGTTGATTTAAAATCAATCAACATGGATTGTGACATCATGAAATAATGACTTGCAGAAAAAAAATCCATAGCACACAGTTGATGTACTTTTAAATAACCATGATTTATTAAGAAAAACTATATGTATATCGTTTTATATATTTTAAAAAGTGCAGCACATCCTTATAGAACAGGTGGGTCTTCTTTACTAGTTCCTATTACAGATAACGCAGCGCCGTCCCTGGGTTCTAACCCTTTCCACCACTTGCTTCTGATAGACATTTCAGAGTTGGGTCTCGGCCCTTATTCCTTCCTCCCTCCCTTCCTGCCTTCTTTTTCTTCTTTTCCTCCCTTTCTTATGTGAGGCCAAGGTGTGGCTATCAAATGCCAATTAATACAAATAGTGAGTGGGCTAAAATACTCAGTAAAAGAGCATTTTAAAAATATTACAGATAGTATTTCCTATCTCTGAATTCTCTTCGATTAGCATGTAGAAATATAAACGGACAACAAAGACCTCTGTAAAAAAAAAAAAAAAAAAAAAAAAAAAAAAGGGCTAGGCGCGTGGCCCCGGGCTGTGGCCGTGTTTGCGCGCGGGCGTCGTGGGCACTGCGCCCGCAGCGCCCCGCGTCTCTGTGATTTAAAGCTCCCCATCGTGGAGAAACAATCGTGCCAGGCCCGTAAGTTCCTTGTGCTGAGCTGGGCACAGTCTAGAAATACAAACCTGATTTGAAATCGCCTGTCTTCCGTGATTGAATTGAGGACCAATTTAATTCAGTCTTCTCTCTTGGGGACCCCCTCAAGCTCCCTTTGAAGCTAAGGGGCAAACACGACTCCAGAGGAAGTGGAGGAAACTTACACCCAGGGCTGGGGACCGGGCCAGGGGTTTCCCTTTCTTACTGAATTAGTTCTCATTGCGGAGCAACATCTGGCTCCTGGCAGCCCGTGCCCCACACACGGTGTAGGCCAGCAGCTTTGGGGCCTGTTAGATGGACAGCACTCTGGTTCCCTCTGGCCTTCCCATTTGGGCAAGTCGGGCCTAGGAAGGGGCCGGGACAAGTGCAGGTCGGGAGCAGGATGTGGGTTGGGGGCACCTTCCTTTCCCAGTCACTTTTCAAAGTTAGGAGCATTCATCTAGTGATAGCTTGGATCACTGAAAAAAATATTTTGCCATAAGGGATCACACTGATGTTTTAATATTAAAAATCAGGGGTTTAATTTTATTTTAGTTATTTTAACCACACAAAAAGCAAAAGTCAGAGCTTCAATTCTGACACAGTCTTAATGTTGATAATATTACTTTTTCCTTTCTTGCGGTATTGGAAATGGAACCCAGAGTTCCTATGCCACTGAGCTACAGCCTTAGCTCTTTTTATTTTATTTTTTATTTTTTGTTAGTACCGGGGATTAAACTCACGACCGCCTGTCGCAAGGCAGGTGCTTATGCCACTGAGCTAAATCCCCAGCTCTGCTCTTTTTATTTTTTAAAATTTGAGACTTGTACTAAGTTGTCCAGGCTGGGTTTGAACTCATGATCCTCCTGCCTCAGCCTCCCCAGGGGTTGGAATTACAGGTATGTGTCATCCTGGCCTGGCTGTTTTATTGCTTTCTAAATCTTTTGATTTTATTTCAAGTTAAAACATCACCCATTAAGATATGTTTTACATCTGAGGGCAGTGTATGAGAAACCTTTAGTGAGACACAATTCCCAAAGATCTATAACAGGACACTTGTATTCTCCTTGTTATTAGGGTATATTTCTAGCATAAATATTCTTAGAGTTTCCAGCATGAAAACAAGTAAGAATAAAAGAGCATGTGGTGTTTTCTTCCATGCTTGCTAGTTGTGTGTGTGTGGTCACATGTGTGTTTCTGTATCAGAAATTATTGTGGCTTTTCAGAAAATAGTTTTCTATTGCAAAACAACAATAACAACAACAAAAAACAAAACCCAATTTTCAGTTGCTCCCCACGCCCATGGGGACGGGGGGACGGACCCCACCAATCGTCAGCTGCCTGCCTGCGCCCCAGGCTGGGCTGTGAGGGACCTGCTGATTCTAGTGCCAGCCAATGCCGAAAGTGTCGCCAGGTCACTTACTGGGAGGCAGGAAGGGAAGTGGCAGAAGAACAAAAAACTAGTTCTGAGTAAAAACCAAATCATAGACGGGGCTCAGCAATTTTCCCCCAGAAATAAATGAACATTTTGGCTATTTTAAGAAAATTTTCATCCACTCGTGAACCCCAATTTTTATGGCAGTTCACTCCCAAACAGCCTCCTTCGGCTGCTGCTCAGCTCCGCCAAAACTGTACTAACATACTTAAGAGGAGGGAGGGGAAAAAGGCAATGAACATGGAGAGGAAGTAAAACAAGTGGCTTGCTTTTGATTTGCAGAGCCAAAGAAAAAGCTGACAGTTGATTTGGCAGGTGGTTGTTGCTCTTGGCCTTTTCATGTTGTAGGTTGTGGAATAATTATATGGGACCTCTGAGGGCATGAGAAATGGACTAGCTGGCGAAATTTCTGTTTCCACTGCACTTGCTACTCTAGACACAGCTTCTATGATATCATCAGAGTCCTACCAGTAAAGCCCATGGCGGCGGCCTCTCTGGACTGTCTACGCAGCCCATCTCCATCCCGGAAGTCAATGTACACCAGATCTATGGCTTGTAGGCCAAAGGCCTTGGCCACGACAACAATCTTTTGTCGAGCGTAAAGAATGTCCTGGGTTTCTTTGCTACTTGTTGCACCTGAAAATGAGAAGTGGACACAAAAAGACGCTTTAACTTTAGAAACCCAGCCCAGGTATTTCTTATAAAAACTCTGTAAAGGCATCTAAGTCTCCCTAGGAACTGCTCCTCAGCAAAACAATACTTCTTCAAATAGGGAGAGGGAATGTGGGCAGGCAGTGTTAAATCTCATGTGTTTATTTCCTTCAACAGTCACCTCTGCAGGCATCAAGGAAAGGCCCCTCCTCCTCTCAGGGGGCAGAATCAGGGTCCTAGGGACTCTGGACTTTCCTCTTCTTGTTATTGCTCTGACGTGTCAGCCCAAAGACAGCTCCACAAAAGGTGGCCAGGGAACCTCGCAGGGAAGCTGTTCACCTCCCATGCTGGGCATAGAAGGGCGGGCGCTAGGCTGGGCCCATTGTGCTGGGTGCACAACCCCTGTCCTGCTTGGGGTTCAGAACCCAACATCTGGCTGGGCCTCTGGGAACAAGAAGGACACTCATTTCGGGAGAGGCACAAAGTGTCAATCTGCCCCTCAGAGTCCGCTGAATTGTCAGCAACACGGAAGTCTCCTGGAAAGACTGACATCAAAATAAATTCTTTTTCTTCACCCAGAGGTGGCTGGGAGGTGTCACTGTTTTTCTTTGGACCATGCAGGACACTGCTTAGGGAAAGTATGTCCAGGTTCCTGGAATGTGGCCCAGTGACCTTGGCACTTGTGTATCCAAGTTACACAGAGGACAGGGACAGAGGGACAGAAGAAATCAGTGAAAACCAGCAATGTCCCAGTGAATATGTAAGAGCAATTCTGGAATATATTCTAAGACAAGTTGTAGATTTGTCTTAAATGATATTTACACACTACAGTTATGGAGAAAACAACTCACTAATGTCAATGTAAAAGTACCTTAAAATTGTTTTAGAATCCTACCCTGATGTGAAGATAAAATATCTGAGTTAGCACAAGGTTGTTGGCATAATAAATTTATTACAAGCCAGCTAGATGCCATGTATTCTTAAACATGCCTGAGGCTGAAACAGGCTTTTTATTATTTTATAAATGAGCAGAAAGAATAATGCGGTATTCTGGAAGCAGGACAGCTATGAGGAGACCTAATGATCAGAAAGTGGTATGCACACCATTGTCCTGAACTGATATTTGCATGGTTGTTAAATATACATTGTTATGTAAATGTCCATTTGTGAGGGGCAAAGATAAAATCATACACACCACACACACACACACACACACACACACACACACAGAGGGAAAAAAAAGAAAGATTTTTGACACCTATGCTGGCTCGAAAATCTTCTCCTCCAAAAACAACTGCGTCTAGGAAGAGACCCACTTGAGGCCCGATCTTTAGGGTTTCTTCACACACTGCCTGCAAAAAAGCAGAGGAGAACCCATCTTACGGAAATGTTGTTCGCAGCAGAGGAGTGGTTCCTACATCAGCAGGGAAACCCAGCTCCCAGCCTAAAACTGCAGCCCAAATTTAACCCTTCCCAAAGGCATTTAACATCATCCAAAATAAGAATCCCGTAGACAAGGGCTTTGTTCAGTGGATTATAGCAACAGCCATTGCTACATGGTAATATAATTATAACATTCAAATTGTAAGTCATCCAACTTCTAGAGAAATTTTCAGTTAACTCATTTGTATTGTACTGTTATTTACATTTTTCCAAATTTGTTTTTGCTCTAAAAGGTTCTTCAATAATAAACATAAAAACCATAGGCGAGAAGGAAGGAATTTTAAAATCAAACTAATTTGATTATTTGCATTAGGATCTAGTAAACGGCCTCAGGATTAAAGACATCTGATACAAAACCTACAGCCTTAGAGGGGAAGATAAAAATGCAACAAGTCCTCCACGATGGGTTAATAAAGCAACTCTGACATCTCTGAACGAAAGTGAAGATTAATAACATTTGCCATAGACAGAGCTGGGACTCTTGAAAGGTGGAGATGTGAGCTGCTAATACACAAGTGGGTGGAAGAGGACTGAGGAACCATTAGGGACACCGTTGATTAATTTCAGGCATCACGAGGACCCCTAAGTACATTATGGAATAAAATGGCGAAACAGTGCTTAAAATTAAATCACTGTATGAATCTGGTTGCTTCGAAGGGATATGTTGGTGACTATACTCCGAGGGATCTAGGGTGGGCTGGAGGAATTTGTGGTTATTTGTGTAAACGAGCTGATCACGGAGGCAAGGCTTGAAACTGCCCCAAATACTCGACTGGGCCCCTCATGCACAATCCCACTGATCTCTGCTTTCTCTCCAGCATCTGCTCACTGATTCTCTCTCCAGCCTCTTTCCTTTGTCTTTAGTGATTTCTTGGGGGCTAGAAAATCTGAGTTGTGCGAGGTTGCTACCACAGGCCAGGGGGAGCGACAGGCACACTTGGGAAGCAGTGTAAATGCTCAGGAATAAAGGGGTCTGGTCAGGCCAGGTGGCTCAGGACTCGCACAATGGTTGAAAACACTTGGCTCAGCCATTTCTCCTGATTGTAGATTTAAACATATTTCTAGTTCTAATGTGCCAAAGTGAAATAGAAGACCATGGATTACTCGTGTTATGCGAATTTAAAAACAAATAACCTCATCTGCTGCACGGTCTGAATGATGTTGCTACAAAGAGGTCAGAAAATTTCTCCATGAAAAGGCTCCTGATAGAAAAAGAAGGATTCAAAGTTAACTCCCGAGGGTGACAAAATAAATTTTCCACGTACATTTAATTCACACATGTAATCATCCAAGGCACATGTTTACACAGTGATTAATTAGTTATTATTAGAGATACATAAATATTTCATTTAAATATTTAGGACTAGGGAAGTTTTTCCTTGCTATTTAACCAATTTCTTTGTTTTCTAAGAGGCTGACAACCTTGGTTTTGGACTATTACAGATAACAAATGATGCTCAAGGTTTACCTGGTAAATATTTGAAATAGATTAAGAAATATTTGAAATAGATGTTAAAATTGAAAGCAAAGGTTCTCTCTTGGTGGTAAATAAAATACTAACTTATATACCCAACATTATGGTTTTCTTACCTTAAAATTGAGTAAACCCATTGCAGTTTCCACAAAAGGGATTAAATTCATTGGTTGTTCGAGTTTTCGGCCTTTTAAATGGGATGAAAATTTGCCTGCAAACTAAAATCAAAAGTGTCATAGGTGGTTAGTGGCAGAGGGAAAAAAAAAAGAAAATGTAGACACAGAAGTACTAGAGTATTGAAGTCTTTGACCTGAGGAAAAAATATCCTGGCCTTCATCCTCAAAAAAGAATTTAAAAAAGAAAAGGAGAGAGGGAAAAAGGGGTAATAAGTTCCCACCAAACTAAATAGTAAAACCCCAAACATCTACAATTTTTTTTCCACCTAAGGAGCAATTTGAGGCCTAGGAGTCAGACGGCAAGGAGAGATTCCTGGTTTAAATGCTTCCCACTAAAACGTATTTCCTGAAGACCTCTGGCCCCCTTGGCATTAAATGCAAATGTGGGCCCTTAAAACAATGCAGCCTGGCTCTACCTGCCGCTGTTTTTGTTTGGTGCCCACCACTGACAGCGATAGAACTGTTCTGTTCAGCAGCCTTCTCTGTGGAGCCCGTATCACTCAGTATAGCACCATTACCCTTTGTTCGGGTGGTTTTTCTCCATAATTTTTTAGCTTACCTAGGAAGACCTTAAAAAGGAAGTTTAATTCTTTGAAGACCAAAGCTCACCAATTTTTTCCATGAGACCAGTTCACAGCTAGCTCTGGCTGCCAGTGGGGTAGCCCAAATTCCAAAATCTATCATCTGGAAACATACAAAAGCTCTTGCTCAGATTCCCCCTACCCCTCCTTTTCAAAAGGGGAGAAAACCCCCACAATCTAAATTGTAAATCTATTATGTCTATCTAGATCTAATAAGATGTGGAGAGATTAAAAAAAAAAAAAAGAAACACAGGTATGATAAAGATATTTTTGTAAATAAAGATGAAAACACACACACATATGTATATATATATATATCCATTTTAAATTTAAGGAATATTCAATCATTAATGGATATCAAAGGAAAAGGGAATTTTAATCATCTCTCCATTCAGTCTCAGTTGGGTAAATCATATCTAAGAGATTTGCATAAATATAAACCATCAAAGACTTTTCATCTTCAAAGGGGGTTTCAAGACCCTATAAGCTTTGTACTGTAATCATCACAGGTCACCACCCTGCAGGAATAAGGCTGCTATGGCAACATAAAAAAACTAATGCTTAGGGCTTAGCATAATATTCTGACTAATAGAAAGGAAACTCATTTTAAAAGCTGGCAGCCTATTTAGCAGAAGCGGGATTAGAAGTGTTATTTCCCCTTTTAGCTGCCCCTCCTCGTCTGTGCAAATCCTCCCCCCCCCCTTTAAAAAATCTAATCACTGGGATCTTTAAAAAGCTTTTGAGCAATTTGCAGTAACTTTACAATTAGGCTAAAATAAATCACAGCTTTCAGTAATGAAGAACCATTCCCATCGCTCTGCCCGCCCTTCCTCAGACAGCATCACCTTCTTAGTAACTTCCAAGGCAGGAACAACTCGACCAAAGCCACCAGGACCCAGAGAAAGCTGCGGTGTCGGGGGACAAAACGCATGGCATTGGACGCAGAGGGAAACAGGTCATAATTTATGTCGCAATTATGCGAGAAAATGGGTGGTGAAATATTAGCGGTTTTGGTGTTGACTGTTGATTTTCTTTTTTCCTTTCTTGAAAAAATAAAACCAGAAAACCTGCAAAAGCTACTTGCCCCATTCTTCCAACTACAGAAACTATAAAGTTTACAGCTAGGCAAACCCTTTACTAAAAGATCGTCCCTGCTCTTAGTGGGTAAAAACTCGAATGTCCTTTGTTTTTAAACCAACAGGGGCATTTAAAAATTAAACACGCCTGCTCCTCCCCCTGCCCCCTCCCGCTCTTTCTTAAAAAATTGCATTAAGTACTAACACAAAAGGTAACTAGTGGAGAAGTTTCAATTAATTTTTTTCAAAAGGGGACGATTAAATGTTTCCGGCCTGGTAAAGTGCTCATTTCAGCGAGGTGGAGGCGACCGGGTGGGGGAGAAGGAGAGGGGGGCAATTACAAAGGGACCGGGGAGGAGATGGAGTAGTGGCGCTCAGCGATTCTTTCAATTCCAGTGCACACCCAATAGTGTGTTGGAAGAATGCACACTGTTCGGGATTTGTGGGAGAATTGTCCTGCCACAAAAGAGGCAGAGTTACGCTTGTTATAGTCCAATAAGCCGTGCCAGTCAAACAAGAACCCACACTCACGACAAAAGGCGAGCAAGAGATTCTCACACAAAAGGAAACAAGTAAGCCCATCTTTCAGTGGCGCATCAGGCTCTGGGTCTTAGGCTCCACATAAATACAAACGGAGAAGGAAAAAATAAACAGCCCCAAGGCTTTCTGTTCGCCAGAAGTCCTGTTTCAGTGCAAGCACGTTCCCCAACATCTGAGGAGGGTGGAGCTGGAGGCTGGGTTGGGTCCCTGCTCTATGAGGGTGATGCGGGATCAGCAGGCGTGGGGATGGTGACTTGTGTCCATCCCCATCCACGCAAGACGCGTCCCAGTGGAGTCAGAGCCCTACATGTTAACATGCCCCATCCGACCAGTGTTTCCAGCTCTCAAGGTGACCCTGGAGGGAAGAACTCCAGTCTAGGAAGTCCTGCTCTTGGACTTCAAGTCTTCAAGAAGAGTCTGACACACAGCTGCCCAAAGACACATAAGGGCATCTATAAGTGTGACCTAAAGTTTTCTTTTTCTTATTTTTATTTTTATTTTGTGGGCTTCTTTTTGATTTTGATTTCGTTTTTGTTTTTGGAGACAAGGTCTTGCCATATAATCCAGGCTGACCTTGAACTCACAGCAATCCTCCTGTTTCAGCCTCCTGGGTGCTGGGATGATAGGCATGTGTCCACATGCCTGGCTTTTAACTTTAAATTTGTTAGTAGCTATGTATAGTCAAAGAGTAAAGTGATACAGATGAAGTCAATTTTCCTAATATCTCATATGCCACCTAATAGAGCTAAATATTATTTCAGTGTGTAATGAATGTAAAATTATTGAGATGGTTCACATTCAGTCTCCCCTGCACTGCCGAGTCTTTAAAAGCCAATGTGTATTTTATAGTTGTAGCCCGTTCAGTTATGGACCCCATGTAGCACATGGCCCCTGTGTCACATAGGATGGATCCAACCTATTCAGAAGTGGTAGGCAGGTGGGCAGTCTCACTGGTCAGTATCATAACCTCCCAGTGTATTGCTGTGGTCACACCCAGGCCCTTCAAGATCATACTCTTTGGTGTTTTTTTTTTTTATTTTTTGAGACAGGGTCTCATTATGTAATTCAGGCTGGCCTTGAACACATGTAGCTCAGGCAGCCTTTGAACTCATGAGGATCCTCCTGCCTCGGCCTCCTAAGTCTGGGATTATAGAGGCACACCACCACTCCTGGCTCTTGAAGATAACACTTTGAATCCCCACTGCCCATTCACCCTGACAACAAACACATACAGCTCTCCAATCTCACAGCCTCCACCCAAAGCGCAATGGTGCTTTATTCAACAGAGGCCTGCAGAATAATAGCGACCCCCAAACAAAATCGAGCTGCCCCCAACACTGTTTCACAATTAATAACAGCATAATTGGGCCTATTTCAAAAGTTTTCTTAAGTAATTTGATGTGCCAGTCGTTTTACATTTCAGGTTTTTATTGGCTGAAAAGTCTGTCCTGAAACTCAAACACACCTGTCAGCAATTTAAAAAGGACGTGCTAGAGAACTGTTCAGGAAATAATATCTTTGCTAATTAAGACCACTAGTTAAAAGCTTCCTGTGTAGTTGCCCCAAGGAGTGACCTTTTCTCCCCCACTTTGGGTACATTTTTTCATACACAGCTCCTGTCCTTGGTGGCCTGTGACTTCACCACAGCACCCAAGGGTACGGTGGTTGCATGCCTGTAATCCTAGCACTCTAAGAGGCTGAGGCAGGAGGATCACATGTCCAAGTTCCTCCTGGGCAACTTTGCAAGACTCTGTCTCACAGTAAACAATTTCAATTTTGGGGCTGTAGCTCAGTAAGAAGGCCTTGGGTTCAATCCCCAGTACTGGAAAAAATAAACCAAAATAAAAAACAAGGGTGCCTGCTCCTCTCCGCTACTATACCTGGCACTGATCCGAGTCACCAAGCAAAGGGTTCCTACTCACCCACCGGATTTCTTCAGGACTTTCGACCTTGGGGAGCATCAGGCTGGAAGGGAGGACCCGGGATTGCAGGATGGTCGCCAGGTCTTCCTCGGCCAGACCGCTGGCCACCGAGCAGACTCGCACACACTTTTCAGTTGGGCCCAGGTCAAAGTCCTCAAGGGTTTTCACTATTGTCAGTCGAGCTTCATTCTGTAAATGTTGATAAAAATGGACTCCTAAGTTTAGTTTGATCATTAAGAGAAACACAATCAAATGCTCTGGGAAACCATTCATGGTTCAGAATCTCAACACCATTATTAGATCTCCAAGTTTGCTGTGTGTCCTATGAGTGATATCTGAACAAAGCTGCCCAATCTGACCCTGTTTTCTGGACTCTGCATAAAGTGAGCGTCTCATGACGGACCCACCATGATTCAGCCTCGTGTCCTCCTAATCATGGAATCATCTTGCTCATTTTCACCCCTTTCCAAATGGAAGGCATAAGGGGCAATTATTTTATTGATTGAACATTAACTAACGGTAAGCACGGTTCTAAGTTCTTTAACTGAAAAGTTCTTATTTAAACCAAACACCCAGGAGAACATCTGGATCACGGCAGTCTCGTCTGTCAGCCAATTCACATTCAGAGAAAAAAATAAGGATTTGTTTTTCTTTTTCCCCATGTATCATGCTTTTTTTTTTTTAAAGAAAAAAAACTCCTTTATTTTTTTGCCAGTGAGTTGCATCTTGACATTCAATTAATAAGGCACTCGCAGGGATGTGACACTCCACATTACAAGAAAATGTCCCACTTATTCAGGTGGAAGGCAGGAACAGCATCGAGGAATCCCTTCGTGAAACGCTTGACAAGTGCGTTTTCTCCCTTTGATTTGACAGATTCTGCTCCACAGTTAAGAAAAGCTGCAAGATTGAAATTCTGCTTCCAGATTTGAATTATTCCAAAAAAAACTAAATGAGTTCAAATAGGATCTTTACTGGGATTGGGTTGGGGACAAAGAAGGTGGAGTGGGGGACAGAAGGTACACTGAGGGGTAGGGATTGGGTCAGGAGAAGGAAAGCCCTAGGGGCCATCGCTTCCTGCCCCAAATTCCTCCCACTCACCAACAGCCCTCGACAAATTCGCATTGTCAGAAATAGCGCTTATCAAAAGTAATTTCATTTGGGAAGGGTTTTTATGGCACTAATAAAACTTTAAAGCTACTGGCTGCTGATGAATGTGGGTTTGTTTTGTTTTTAAGTTTTAACACTATACAGCCATTTGAATAGCAATGATTATGGAGGAAAACAGTAAACCAAAGAAGGGACCAGAAAGAATTATGTAAGGCACTATGGAATGTAGGTCTAATGAAGCAGATAAGCCAGGATGGGAGATTTAAACCAGACGGATGTAGGTGTACGACCTACTTCCAAATGTGGTCTGAGTTAAATGGTGTGAGGAAGCGGTAGCTTAGGGTTGTCAGGTCGGATGGAAACATTACCTGGGACCAGCACAGGACAGCTCTGTGGAATCCTGATTTACGGCAGAGCTTCAGCCACCAATAATTAGGCCAAGCTTAGACAAAAGCAAGAGGGAGCTCGGGCTAGCATAAGGTAGGAGTGCAATGGCCCACACTGGGCTTCCGCCTCCCGCCTTGGAACGTTCCCCAGCGATAAAACTCCCTCATCCACGCATGCTGCCAGCACTCTTCACACCTCTGGGTTTGAACGCAGAACGAAAGGCAGACAGTAGCTCAGCGTCATGGTTCCCAGGCTGTGTGTTCTCCGGCCGTATTGGCCTCCAGATCTGTAGTCCGGGAGACCCACACAGCTACGAACCCTGGAGCTCTCCACTTTGTAAGCACTGTAATTCCCAGATTCTCTTTCCCAAGCAAGTCAGCCTTAGCTGGGGTGGAGCAGTGCAAACCTGTAATCCTGTACTCTGAGAGGCTGAGGCAGGAGGATCACAAATTCAAGCCTGTCTTGCCAATTTAGTGATTTTAGTAAGAGCCTGTGTCAAAATTAAATACAGGGCTGGGGATTTAGCTCAGCAGCATAAGCGCCTGCCTTGAAAGCAGGCAGTCATGAATTCGATCCCTGGTACCGATATATATATATAAAAAAAAAAAAAAAAAAAAAAAAGGGAAAAAGACAAAAAAAATTAAATACATACATACATACATAATAGGGGATGTAGCTCAGTGGGAAGGTCCTGGTGTTTAATTTCCAGTACCAAAAAAAAAAAAAAAAAAATCAAGTCAGACTTGCAGGAAGTCTATTAATACAGTAAATGGAAACTAGAAGGGAACTCAACAGACAAGCAAGGTTAAAGCTGAAATTACTGGAATTGTCATCTCCCCCTCCTCTGATCTGCCCATGTGCTCAACAGCACAGGATCCCTGGCAACGCCAGCTCCCTACATTGTTAATATTGATGTCATGTGGAACAGACCCCTGAGTTGTTTTGCGGTCTCCCTTGGATAGGAATGGGACTGTTTGTTCAGAGCTCCTGTTCTAAACCTGTTTGTGAATTTTATCTTGAGTCAGATTGCCATGGTTTCGGCACATTCCGGTTTACTTAAGAAAGTCAGCCCTTGTGAAATTGGCTGCAAATGAAGTCCCTAACTCCAGTTTTGGGGCATAATCTGATTAGTACTTCTCATGTTATAATGAGCAGCGAATGCTCAGCATTTTACTGGGCTTCAATATTTTGGCTTAGAATTAAAGCCAAGCTCTTTCCACTTCATCCTTCTCTACCTTTTCTAAAGGAAGCGATGGCTTTGGGGGTCTATTGCCACTTGATGCCCAAATTAACAAGCTGCCACTTGTTGCGATTTCCATAAACCCAGTGTTAGCCCCTCTGGTCTGCATCCCAAGACGCACGCTTAACAACTTCATGAATTTACACCACCCAATGGGCACATTGGTTCTTTCTCTCTTTTTGGTATTTTAATGGTGAAATATGCTGCCATGCTAGCAGACACATCCATGCCATCTGGTGAGCTGAGATGGATGAAGGCAGATCTCTAAAGCCATTTAGTTCAGTGCTGGGTGTTCGGGGATAAAGTCAGAGCCCACTCAACTGTGAAAAGAAAGACATTCTGTCCCTCTGTCTTCTACCTCTCCCGTGCACGGCTTCCTGCATGCACACTTGTCTCCATCCTCCCCCCGCCCCCCATTGTGTTTTCCTCGTCTCTCTCTGGCCCATCTCTCAGGAGTGCACCTGGCAGATGCTGTCTTTCAGAGGGCCCTGAGGGTGACCTGCCAGGATTGGAGGACTAAAGTAAAAGGCCCTAGAAGTAAAGAAGTCACTGGAGAAAGAACTTTGGGGGATCTCACATTCTGGAAACAAGGTAGGATGGTCCCATTGAGCCCCCAAAGGGGAATGCATTCTAAATGGCACACCATAGGACAGCCTGGGGAATGAATTTGTCCTCCTAGGATCTGACAAGCTGGAAAAGCCCAAATAATGGAATTAAGGCCTTTATCAATAGTTCCAGGAGAGCTCTGAGTGCCATTCAGTGCTCTGCATCGGGTTTGATCCCAGACTTTGTGGAGGTCGCAGGAGTGGTTGGCACAGATCAGAATCTTTGCAGAACGATTCTAAAAAATAGTGTTCCCTGGCCAGGGATGGAGCTCAGTGGTACAGTGTCTGCCTGGTAAACACAAGGTCTTGAGTTTGATTCCCAGTACCAAAAAAAAAAAAAAGATGTCCCTAAATTTCCCACACCTGATCCATATTGTATGCCATAAACTGCTCAGCGCAGTGGAGCAGGGGCTAATAAATTGTCCCTTCCACAAGCCACCATATTATGCCACTGTGTCTGGGCCAGGAACCAAGGCGTGCTCTGATTTCAGAGCCTGGATTCCTGTCACCTGCAGAGAAGACACGCTCGGGTGACGTCAGAAAGCAGATAAATCAACCATCACCAAGACCTGCAGACTCCGAAATTAAAAGGAGAAAATATGCGTGCAGTTGGTTCAATTGGCACCCATTAAAGCTAATAACTAATCATCCTCGTAAGTTTCTAGCTCAGAATGATCAACTCTGCAAAGAAAACAACATCCGTCCACTTTTACACTCCAGTGGAAGAGGTGGTCCCTCGCGGCGGGGCGGCACGGTCTCCCATCTGGAGAATAAATCGAGTGTGAAGTACAGTATAGTTTGGGACCAGGCTCCGTGGCGGCAGCTCAGCAGTCAGTTCATTAGTTCCAAACTTCCAGGGATTAGAGCAGCATCAATTCTACTGTCGGATAGGATAAGACAGACAGGACAGGAGAGGCGAGGGGAACTGAGGCCCGAGAGCAGCCCCTTGGGTTTACTTATATAGTGACGATGTCTGAATACACCCAAAGAGATGCCTTAAATAATGGCACCATCACAGTTCCCTAACATCTGAATTAACACCTTGCCCTTCACGCTCCAGCCCCCTCCTCAGACCTGGAATGTGAACTGTGGTGGTGGGGGGTGCTCTGGAGGAAATCACAAAGACAGACCCTGCCTGCCACAGGAGGCAGAGCTGTGGCCCAGCCGGAGGCTGGTGAGGGAGGAGTAGGAAGGATTTTCTGAATTCTAGGGCCATGCACCGCAATCTCGACTTCATAGACTGTACGTGTGATATACATTATGTGTACTTAATGTTTTCACCCTACAAATAGCAAATCACCATGCCACGTATTTAGAAACGCTGTGAGTTCTTTTCTAGCCCACCTGACCTGATTTTCATGCTACCTCGCGTGTGAAGTGGCCTCAGCCACACAGTGGTCCCACTTCTGAGAAGACCCTGCTGTTGGCATCTTTATGAAAATGTTCAATTTGTCAAATTAAGTCTGGTTTAAAATCAATGCTGAATGAATTCTTTTTCATTTAAGAATCTCCTTCTTTGCACAACTGCTTTTTACATATTTACATTTAAAAGGCAGAGTGCCTGTGACCTAAAAGAAATCATCACTAGTAAAGGTTGGATTTTTCTTATAAATATCAAAATTATAATCATGACCCAGAGACTGTCATAATGTTGAAAAAAACGAATAAAATCTGATTCTTGCTGGGCAGGGATGTGCTTTGTCAGGTAAAGGAGGGGAATGATTTTCTAGCCCCTTGTTTTGTCCATATCCAAAGAAAGTTTGGCTTGCCTGTCTCCTCAAAAGGGAAACCTACTGGACGTACCCTGTGTTAATGGGGTTAAAATTTCACACCCTGGCTCATTGTAT